TGAGTCGTAACAAATTAAAGTTGTCAAAGATCGCAGTTTTATCACGATTTTGACACAAAAACTGGAATAAAATCTGCAACTTTTTAAATCTTTCAAAACCTGTAACTCGACTCTGGGTTAACCTACTTCGATAAAATTTTCAGTACTCATATAAATTACGATCTACGAGATCATAGTTAGATCATAGTTATAACTACGAGAGGAATTCCCGAAATTTTTACGATAGACTCGGATAAAAAAGTTAAGAAACGAGAGCTTCTTATCTTCCTTCGTTATCCCAAGTAGAGCAAAATTAAAAAGAAGTCATTCCAGTCATCGTCTAGCAGCACTTCAGAAAGCAATTCGAGTCACTTAGACCAGATTTAAAAAAAGTTATCGCGTTTCACAACGTGTACGGAACACTTTTCTGTTCCACTGTACATGTATATAGCAGCGTTTCGGTACGCGTATCTCTCTCGACCGAATCTAAAATCCCGTAAAACTACTTAGGAAATTGGAGCCGCAAGTAAACCCGAACAAACTTTCCGCTCACCTACATTTAGTGACCATAGGGAAACAAAGAAAGAGAACGCAATCCCGGTGATTGCGTTAAAAGATGAAAGGCCGAAGGCAGTTTGTTTTTCAAGCCGAACAACCTTTCGGTAAATAATGCCGGACAAGCAGGACAATCGTCGGCCGAGCACGTCGCGAACGAATTAACCAGTTAGCTGTGGCGCCTCCTTTTCAAAGCGCGCACCTATATGTGTCGCGAGAATCAAGCGACGACGAGTATACTCGTCGAACACAGAGTAAACGCCGCTGTTGAAATATTCCATCGAAAATACGATTTTATTTTATAAAATTAACAATTCTATTACTAATATTTGCTTATTCGCTCAACATTGTCATACACTGCATACATAATAAACGAAAAACGCAAGAAAAATCAAATACTTGTGAAAGTTAAAAATTCAAATCGCTGCTGTAGAGTGGTATTCAGCGAAGCAGGGAACGATACATAATGGTACATTGCACGTCGAACACCGACATCGCGAATTATTCATATAATTATTCGTACGTTTTATTTGTTTGTTTTATTCTGGTCTGGCCTCAAAATATTCGAAACATCTTGAAATTTCAGAATATGTTTTTGTTTTCACAAAAATTGCAATTTAAACAGCCAATGGTCGCTACTTTTTACGCGCGACGAGTATACTCGTCGAACACAGTTAACTGGTTAAGTACTCGGAGACAGCGTCGGACGGTGCAAATGGGCCATTGGGCGCGAGACGCTTTTTCTCTCGGCCCCCGACGGAAGAATGCCGCGCGCTGCGAGAAAACCCGTGGAAACGGAACACGCGGGGTTCCTCCATTCTCTGTCTACGCCACGTGGCCGAGGATGAGGATCCGCAGCAGCTTGCTGCAGGTGGCGGCGACGGGGCCGGAGTTATTAGAGTCGCAAAGAATCCGTCGTTTTAACGTATCGCTTTCGAGCGGAGCGAAGCCCCAGTTTCCCAGCGCCGCCATTAAATATGTACAACGGAAAGAAAGTTATGTACTCTCCGCGGAATCCGACGTGGCTCGAAGACAGGAACTCGGGAAAGAGGGCCGCGGAACAACGCTCTGAAAGCGTTATTACTTTCCGAGTGGCAATGCCGGCCGGATCCGAGCTTCTCTCTGCGATATTCGGCGAACTTCGACCGCCGGCGATGGTGTTCCGCCGGTGTTATTTACGGGAAGAGAAAAAGCAAACGGAACGGAACGCTCGGAACAGCGGGCCCCGCGCGGATAAAACGCGGGTCGAGAGATTGGAAACGGTGGGACAACATTACCGAACAAAGCTCTCTTTGTACGCGCGATACCCACTGAGATTATTCAAACGACTCCGGTTTCCGCTCTCGAACTATGTACAAGCCGTTCTGGCTTTCTTATACAGGGTGTCCCGAAAATGTCGCGCAATCCGAAAGTGGCGGGTTCCTCGGGTCGTTCGAAGCAACTTTTTCCTTTACAAAAATTTTCTTCGAGGCACCGTTAACGAGTTATTAACGAAAAACAGTGACCAATGAGAGGCGAGCTCGGCTGGCGCGAGGCGACCGAGCCAATGAGCGGAACTGGGCCGTCTCGCGTCAGCCGTACTTGATTCTTATTGGTCACTGTTTTTCGTTGATAACTCGTTAACGGTGCCTCGGAAAACATTTTTGTAAAGGAAGAAGCTGCTTCAAATGATCCGAGGAACCCGCCATTTCCGGATTGCGAGACATTTTTTGGGACACCCCGTATATCCCCGACGCCACGAATACGGCGAGATCGCTTCTTTGAAGCCGTTCTTGTTTATCGACAGCAATTATTCGGCGTCCCGGCTTCCGACGATTCGATGGGATGCTTCCAGGGCGAATCTAGGAACTGCCCCATAACTCCGTTTTTATTGCGGACGGAATGCATCGAGAAAGATGGTGCGGGACGCGATGTAAAAATTCTTGCGAAAGTTAATGACGTGTAAATGCGCTCCGCGGATGCGCCGCGGTGCGCTGTTCGTAACAATCGAAACCGATAAACGATGCGATTGTTCGAAACGTGCGACTTTCGACTCTTTTTTTATCCGTTGCAGAAACGAAGTTACAGCCGGCCTAGTTCCCGGATCGTGCAATTTCTGTTTCCAACGTCATCGCGGATCTCCGGCGAATAGAAGAAAATTTCGAGCGCACGGAAATATGGCGAAGGTCGGCGCTAAAAGTAACTAACTGGGTTTATTAGTATATTTTAGGGCAGCCAATCTAGGGCAGTTGATGTTTAATTTTCATGGTAATAGATGCTCCACGTTCCGGTGGAAACGCGTCTAAGGCTTTAAGGCTGGCCGCGCTTCAAACAAAATTACCGAGTCTGAACTTCAACAATAGGCATCGCTCAACGATATTGCATTGTATCGGAGATTCAACAAGATTGCGAGATGCCTGTATACTTTCAATCAGTTCGAGAATACAACGACATGAAGCGCAGTTCGTAACTTCGTGCAATTGTTATTGACAATTGGTGCTCTTATGTTTCTCAGGTTGCTGAGTTTGTATATGTTTGAACTGCGAAATTCAAAATGGGAAATCTAATATAATATTAAATCAAATCGATTATTAATCATTTTCCGATGTTTGGCTATAATTATATAATTAAGATATCAAAACGACGAGCTTAAGTTCAATACATATGTTTGAACTGCAAAATTCAAAATGGGAAATCTACTGCCGCAAACATCGTTTTTAACTTGTATTTTGTGAATGTCAATAATTTTCAGATGTTTGGTTATAATTATATAATTGGAATATCAAAACGACGATTTTAATTTCAATACATATGTTTGAACTGCGAAATTTAAAATGGGAAATCTGCTGACACAAACATCGTTTTTAACTTGTATTTGTGATTATTAATCATTTTCCGATGTTTGGCTATAGTTGTATAATTAGGATACCAAAATGACGATTTTAATTTCAGTACATTTAAATATTAAGTCACGAATCTTGTTAGATTAAATCTTTCGATGAGAGAGAGAGAGAGAGAGAGAGAGAGAGAGAGAGAGAGAGACTGTCACAATTTTTCCTTTGCTGTTATATTCCATTAAAGTCCATCTTCGTAACATATGTTCCAATGATAAAATGCTCTGCAAATGATTTCTTTAACAAACTTTAGCTTGACACATTAAAAAAGTTACAATCCTTAATATAAAACAAACGGATCGCGTAAATTTACGTTTTTCCGTTCTGACTTCCTAGAACTGGCCCCGCAGATTTACGTTTTCCTTGAATTGTTATTAACACTTTATTAACACTCTACTAATATTTTATCAATACTAGAGTTATGTAAATAAATAACTTCGTAAAATTGTTATCAAAATTACTGTCGACTTAACAAAACTGCAACGCTCTAAAATCACCATCATATATGTTCATTCAATTCTCTTAAAAAAATGCCCGAAAACCGAGAAAGCCAACTAAAAAAAAACAATCCGTTCTTTAAATGTTAAGATCACAAAGCATGCTCAGCTCACTCCTCACTTAGCTTACTCCACAAGCTCACTGACCGCGCACGCTATTCGAAAATTTCAATCGGCATCCGATGCTCGGAACAACGCACACCACACATATACATACAAACAACACCGACGTTTCCGCCGCCACATACGATCCATCGAAAACTGCATTTTCTCCAACTTTCCAACTCAACTTTCAAAACTAAAGCTTTCCGACGCGCGACGTTGGAAGCAGGCGACCGGAGAAAAAAGCCGGCCTAGCTAGCCAAAAACCAAGGGATCAGCAGGAACAAAAGCGGCTCGCAGCGAGGCGTCCCAAGAAAGACACAGTCGAGTGCCCCTTCCCCCCCGTCCATGACCCAGATCACCTATCAATAAGCTTCCTGACCCCAGGCTGGTTACAAAGGCGTCGAGGCAGCAACAGCATCGAGGCTACTTCGGAGCGAAAGCTTTGTCGCGGAGGACAGAACCGGGCGTAGTAGTTGGCTTTGGAACCGTGCTGGCACGTTCTCTCGCGGAACGAACCCGATCGGATCGAGTTCCATCGGACAGGCGGTCGCGTGCGCGAGCCTTTCAATCGGACGGGCTCTGAATCGGGGCAAGAAAAGAATGCGATACGGGACGAGGCGATACGAGGCGAGCGTTGGCTAGGCTGCGGGCTGGTCGAGCTACGCGTCAGCTGGTAAAAAAGGAGCGAAGCTGCAGGGAAACTGGCATACAGATAGTCGGACAGGCGGACAGCCGAGTAGTGCAGGGTAGCGCAGGTTTTCGTTTGCGGTTGGAAGAGCTGCACGTAAAGAGAAAAAGCCAGTCTCTCTCTCCCCCTCTCTCTCTCTCTCTCTGGCGGTGGGTCGAGAGGGGCTGAAAATTCGCGCAGGCGTTTCCAGCGGCGTTCATCGTGGCGCCTCGACGCTCCTCGACGCTCCTCGACACCCCCGTCGGGTATCCAGCCAGCGTCGTCTCCCGCCCCCGTCCATCCCCCACCAGAGGGTTGAAACGGCGGCTCGGCGCTGCTCGCTGCGCCTCGGTCAATCCGCGACTAATATGGCGCTACGCGCTCGACCCGGCACCGTACGTAGCGTGCTTGTCAATCGACGGCCGATCGTGCACACCGCGATTTCGCACTGGCGCAAACGGTGAAACGCGCGCGAATTTCCATCGGCGAGCAGCCGACCAGCCGTTTCCACCGACGGGAAATACCATCCGGCGGAGAGGCCGTTCCACCGGGAACTCGAAGAGGACTCGATTGTTTTCGAAGCGTCGGCTTCGCTCGGCGCGGCGGTGAGAGAGAGAGAGAGAGAGAAACCGACCGCCGAGAGAGAGAGAGAGAGAGAGAGAAAGGAGAGAGGAGACGGTGCGAGGAGGCGAGCCGACAGGGACGGAAGAGCCCGAACCCCCGAGAGTTAGGGGATGATGGTATGTAACCGCGTGCACCGCTCGGCCGACCCGTTCAAGAGATCGTAGAGAGGACGCCGGGTGGTAAGTGCTGATTGCGTTGCGGTACCACGGACTCCGATAAGCGCGTGCGGCCAGTAATAAGTGAAATGATAGCGTCGTTAGCTGCGGCCTGGCACGCGAGGACGGATGGTAGATGCTGCGGCAAGGTGGCCGGTCCGCCGCCAGTTCTGAGGCAACGATGCTAGAGAAGCGGCCGACACTGGGACCAGACAGGATCGAGAGGAGCAGACGTAGCCGAACAAGCGACTAGGACCGAAGTGACGTAGATATATCGCGTGCGAGAAGATCGTCGACCACACGTTCGAACCGAGCGAGATCGTTAGAGACATTGTCGCCTTGCTCGCGCGAGGCGGCCGACCTCGAGCTCGTTGTTGCCGATCCAGCGTCGACGATCCAGTATCGAGGATCCAGCGACGGTCCTCTGTTTCTCGGGAGCACCATGGCCCGTCACGCGCTCGTCGACGCAGTCCGCGATTAGCCATCGGGAGACAAAGTCGTGTCAGAGAATCCGCGACTAGACTCGTTTAGTCGGATCTCTGGTTTAGTTAGGATCTCTTCGAGGGATTCTGCGAAACGTTGGGACGCGAGAGAGGAGCGAAGGAGGAGAAGAAACGGAAGGAGACGGCGGGGAAGAGAGAGGGCGAAGCGTCACGCGGCACTTTTCAATTAACGCGATAAGGAGGACCCAGTGTCCTGCGCGACCACCGATCGGCGGCAGGGATCTCTTTGACGGCTGACCGAAACAAAATGGCATGTCCTTTCTCCAGAGATTGCACCAACTCGAGGCACCTAGGCGGAAACCCGTCCAGACAATCCTCGTTCGAGGTGACCGCGTCGACGACCCGCGAAGAAACCGAATGTGCCAACAAGGAGACCATCAACCTGCAGCACCTGAGGAGCGTCGTCCTCATTCTGACCAATCCACCGGTATGAATATCAATTTTAATAGCATTGAGAATTGAGAATTTTTCACAGGATCCACGGGATAGACGGGCTTTTCTTTATCTTTGGAATACGTCCGAATAGCGAGAGTAAATTCTTCTTCTTCTTGATTCTATCGCGGAGTTAGCGGCGACGTTATTATCAGCAAGGAGAATCGCATTTGTCGATTAACAAATGTTGGATCGTTCGGGCTTCGTCGTTGCCGATTAGTTTGTTGCGCGATGAAAAAAACTGCCGGATCGGAACTGCGGCTTTCGGATCGTCGACCACTGGGAAATTCGTCGAATTGGCTCTTGCTTGCTGCACTTCGCGCAGACAATTTTATTTCGCAAAAATATCGACGGTCTGTTCGCAACGAAAGATTTATCTAGAACATAAATGAAAGTCTACACGGAAGATTCGTCAGTTGTATCATTAAGAAATCTGGAAATTAGTCTAGAATATCCTAAACTGCATTATCTTGCTCTTCTAAAGAACCAATTAAGACTTGCAATCTACGCTATTTTTGCATTGTGAAATCGAGAAGGGCACTGAAGATTTCAGCCTTTTCAATTAGTATTGGCATATTATCGCTTGGCGGGCGAACGATCAAAAATTCCAGCGCTCAAGCGAAGCTGCGGCTGACTCTTCCCTATCTTCAATACTGCAAAAATGCGCGCATCACGTCGTGATCAGCGCATTATTTCTAGTACCGAAAAAATGCACGAAGCTTCGTTTAGTCGCTGGAATTTTTCATTGTTTGCCGGGCAAACAATAATGCCGATCCCAGTTGCAAACGCTGAAATCTCCGGCGGCCTCTTCGATTTCGCGATCGAAGAACGAAAGAAAAAACGACGAGCATCTTCGCGTTGTCCCTCCGGCGAGAGGCTCTCGAGTGCGCAAAAATCTCGCGATTAGTTTGTCAGCCGCGGGAACAAGAACCCGAGAAGCGAACTTCAAACAGAACTGGAACACGAAGTTTGTTCTGCCGTGCAGGGAAACGGAGAGACTTTGTGCGTCTTCCTCGAGTACGGCACCCCCTACCTCCCCCTTCCCCGAGGCCTAAGTTCATCTTCTACTCGATGAATTTTTCAGAAAACTCTCCGATTCAATCTTCCCCCCGGGTAACGTTTCTTTATCTTGCCGATTGTTGGCCGCGAGAGCTGTGGAAGCGTTCTGTAAATGACGCGGCCCCGCGCCCCGCGCACGTCCGCCGGTGATCCTCTTAGACGGTCCTCGAGAATAAGAATCATGAGATATCGCGTGTCATCAGGATAGAACCCTCAGGATAGAACCCCGGGGCCCCGGTCGCGCATCTCCTTTATGCCCGGTATCGATCAATGTCTTATTAAACAAAATAGAAAGGTTGTCTTCGGAATGCGCGATTCCAGCGGAAACCCGTCGTTTTTCTTGGTCACTCCTAAAAATACACCCTAGCCAGAAATCAATACCGTCGGAATAAATTTATCGTGCAACGTCCATCGGGGAGGATGATCTTTTCGAAAAAAAATAGCGAAAGCTCGCGAAAAGCTGTGATACTTTTTTTTAGGGGGAGGGTGCTCTGGGAATGGACGTCGAAAGTATCAGAATTTCCTCTTTAAAAAATTTGTAGTCTGTCAATTGATTACAACGGACTTCGAGAATATTACAATTCTGTGGTCCATACATTTGTACTGTTTTAATTGATCGTAATGGACTTCGAGGATATTAGAATTCGCTGTTCAAAGAATTCGCGTTCTTCCAATTTATCGTTTCATTCGCAAGCTCTGCGAGCGTTTTATCTAACTTTTTGCGGAGTTAATGGACTAAAATTGCTTCGTAATTATCTGTCATCTATCGCAACTGTCTATTAATCTTCTACAATTAACCGGAAAATTCTCAATAATTTCCAGCAGTTTAAAGAATAATTTGTCTTCGAGGTACAGTGAATTCTCCACGATTTTCCTTGGGTTTGTAAACAAAAGTGGACAATTTGGGAAGAGGAGATACGATTATCCGAGCTTCGTGGCATATTTTTATAGTTGCCGATTGTCAACAATTGTAAAAACGAGGCGCAATGCTCGAATGATTATTCTTATTATCTTCTTATCTTATTATCTTCTCTTCCCAAATCGTCTATTTTCGTTTAAAAGCCGAAAGAAAATTAAGGATAAATTTATTGTACTAATTTATTGGCAGAGTAACTATAAATGAAAGTGCAGCAGCAGTCTTCTCAAGCGTTAATTTAAACTAAACAGAATCGAATTTGCTTTGAACACCGTTGGCATGTTTTTCTAAAGCAAAAATAAAGTCGACCAAATTTGTCTGGAGCGTCGAACGAGTAATTTAAACTAAATAGAATTGAATTTGGTTTCAATACCGTCGGCATGTTTTTGTGAAGCAAGAATAAAGTCGACCAAATTTTTCTCGGGCGTCGAACGAGTAATTTCGATGTTCCCCGTGGTTGTGGATGTGGAACATTGATAAGAGGGAGCGAGCAAGGGTGGCTTTTCTACCCTCGCGACGCTTTTCCAGCCGGCTATCTTCGCGCTCGCGTCTTAACGTTTCAAGGTGTTCATTTAGAAATTTGCTTTTTCACGGTCGGATAAATTCAGATAGGATTCCGCGTCCCGGCGCATCGCGTCCAGCTGTCGGGATCATAAAAAAACCGGAGGAGGGCTCTGATTAAAAGCGCGCTTACTTTCTCCGGCGTGCTGATTAAAAACTGTGAGATGCATACAAAATGGCCCCGGTACGCATCGACCAATGATGTTTCTTGCCTTTCCCGGCTCGCTTAAACAACGTTAACAGTCTCCGGTCTCCTCTCGTTTCATCGCCGGGGAAATATAGAGCAGCTGAATGATCAGCCGACTTCGCGGCCTGGCGCAAAATTCGCCGGTTTTGTAGGCGAATTAAAAGTATATAACTGGAATTAAATAAAATTCCATTTATATCGCGAGCGTATTCGTCGAATGAATATCAGTGCAGCCGGTGATCTCCTCATTCCGCTCTGTTTTATGGCGGTTCATAATACACGCGAGGTGTCGAGCTCTGTCAATCAAATTTTCAACGAATCATCATCTCTTTCTCCTTCCGATTTGAATTACGTTGATTCTCTTTTAACGCGGCGTTCGATTCTTTTATTCCGCCGCTCAATTCATCCAATTACGAGCATTTCACCGTTTGAGTCCCAAGCAGCGCGATCGCGCCGTTCAGATCTTGTGTCGCGATCAAATTTTAGCGACGCACGTATATCGCATAGCTGCTTTTTCTCTTTTTTTTTTCTTTTTGTTCTGTTTGTCAATCTTGACGAGCGCTATCGCGCCGCTTGGTTCTCTTCGCAATTAATTAGGACAAGCGCTATCATGCTGTTCGGCATTTTTCGACCATGTTTTCTGAATAACCCCTGCGACTCAAACGGTTAACGAGGAGATGACTTGCCGCGTCCTTTTCTTTCGGTTTCGGTTGCTCGGTATTTTTTCTGGAATATACAGGGTATCCCAGAAATGTCTCGCAATCTGGAAATGGTGGGTTCCTCGGATCATTTGAAGCAGCTTCTTCCTTTACAAAAATATTCTCCGAGGCACCGTTAACGAGTTATTAACGAAAAACAGTGACCAATAAGAATCGAGTACGGCTGATGCGAGGCGGCCCAACCAACCAGCGCGCGAAGCCCAGTTCCGCTCATTGGCTCGGTCGCCTCATGCCAGCTAAGCTCGCCTCTCATTGGTCACTGTTTCTCGTTAATAACTCGTTAACAGTGCCTCGGAGAAATTTTTTGTAAAGGAAAAAGTTGCTTCGAATGACCCGAGGAACCCGCCACTTTCGGATTGCGAGACATTTTTGGGACAGCCTGTAGATTTTATTCGATCCTCTTGTAGATCCCTCGCTGCGAAATAACACGGTTTCCTCGACCGAGAACAATCGTCGACAAGATTCAACGGTTTCCTGTTTTTTTGTTTTATTAGGTCTACCGGAAAGTTCTGTCCGATGGTGTCACTTCAAGTTTCGATCCATATGCACATGTTGATTTGAGACATATACGACTATCTCTCTTTATCATTGCATTTACACGCATGTACTCTCCTAAATAAACTGAAATAAAGATGTCTCGTGTCGTTATTAAGTGAGACGCGATCGTGAAAACATGGCTACCGATGATAATGCCAGGCCACATGCTGCTTTGGCGACTCGTCGGAAAATCGCAGAGCTAGACTGGGAAATTCTGTCGCATCCACCATACTCCCCAGAC